TAGAGGGGCATATGGATATAATGCACAACATCTTAATTATTATTTATTGTGATAACATTGGTTATGACAATGCTGAAAACCAATGAAAACTGATTTCTGCAATTACTTAAGAAAACAAGAGCACCGCTAGGCGGAGCATGATATGCCCGAAAGTGTTTTTTTAGTAAGGATGAAGCATTTGTAAGACATTACATAAATTAAATAAAGTATAACCTCCTTCAAATAGCAATCCTCCTATTAAGTTTAAGTATTGTAGGCCAAATGGAACTTAAGTTATGCTCTTGAAACTGTATTCAGTTCAGAGGTAATATAGAAATTGAGTTATGTTATAGAAACTGTTTTCAGTTTTAAAGTAATAGTGACCTTGACCTTTGACCCTGTGACCCAAAAATCAATAGGGGTCTTCTACCCAATATGGACAATCATCCGGTGAAGATTAAATATTGTTCGCCACATGGGACATAAGTTATGCTCCGGAAACTGTTTTCAGTTTTAAAATTGTAGTGACTTTGACCTTGTGACCCCAAAATCTTTAGGGGTCTTACACACAATATGGACAATCATCTATTGTGGGCCAAATAGACCTTAAGTTGCTCAGGAAACTGTTTTCAGTTTTAAGGTAATAGTGACCTTGACCTTTGACCATGTGCCCCCAAAATCAATAGGGGTCTTCTACCCAATATGGACAACAATCCAATGAAGTTTGAATATTGTGGCCCAAAAAGACCTTCAGTTGCTCCGGAAACTGTTTTCAGTTTAAAGGTAATAGTGGCCCTGACCTTTGACCTTGTGACACCAAAATCAATAAGGGTCTTCTACCTAATATGGACAATCATCCCATGAAGTTTAAACGCTGTGGGCTAAATGAAACTAAAGTTATGTTCTGGAAACTGTTTTCAGTTTAAAGGTAATAGTGACTTTGACCTTTTGACCCCAAAATAAATAGGGGTATTCTACCCAATATGGACAATCATCCTATGAAGTTTGAATATTGTTGGCAAAATGGAACTTAAGTTATGCTCCGGAAACTGTTTTCAGTTTTAAGGCGATAGTGACCTTGACCTTTTACCTTGTGACCCTAAAATCAATGGGATCTTCTACCCAATATTGACAATCATCCTATGAAGTTTGAATTTTTTGGGCCCCAGGAACTTAAGTTATGCTCCGGAAACCAAATTGCTAACGGACGGACGGACAGACAGATGGACGGACGCCAGGGGGTAAAACATACCCCATTGCGTCCAAAAATTAAAATAGATGCCAGGATGATAACGCTTGGTCCATATCAAGATTTTGCACGTCATTTAATTTTTTATCGGTTCGTCTGTCATTCTGTCCATCCAGAGCAATTTGAATCCTGTCATACCTCAAAATGTAAAAAATCTAGGTTTAACATGATAAAGGACCATACTGAGGTTATACACGTCATTTTTATTTCCATCAGTCCACCTGTCAGGTGTGATATTCCATTTATTTAATTTTATAACAGACACAAATGTAAGACACATGTCCAATAAATGTGATGGTGCGTATAAAGTAAATGTCGCAAAATTATTACAAAATCATTACATCCGTGATCTCTATTCTAAACAACGTAAACCTAGTTGGCTTTAATATCAACATAGCAGTTTGATTTGTCGTTCACGGTTGTACACTTAATTTTGGGATAGATTTTAGTCTTAAGACATTTTGGCTCTTTACTTGGCGAGATGGTCTGTTGCACTCTATAAGAGAGTTCAGCAATACTGTTGTCATTACCAATGAGTTCTTAAACGGTAACCTAAGCGCGGATCTAAATCATTACGATGAGCTTCAAACTTTGGTTTTATCAATGTCTAATGATCAATACAATGTATATGATTGCAGTTTCTACAGGATGTCTTACAAGCACAAGACCAGAGTGCCAACAATCTTTCTAAACATTTATAAACAACATCAACGTAATGGAATATGACCCAAATCTCTAGACTTATATTTGATAGAAGTTATACGGGGTTAAATGAATCGGCTCATAAAATTTATGGTGCAGTGGCACATACAATTGCCTACGAATATGCCAAAATTGTCAAATAGTGAATAAATCAACCCAAATATTATGAAAAAGATTGTTTCACATCAATGCGACAACGCTGCCAGGTTGTAATCCATAGTCCGGGCATTTATTTGGCATGTTTTTTTCCCCATTAAATTTGTGTTTCTTATGACATTTAATAAATGGAATATCATACCTCTCAACTGTATTTAATGAAAATTTCAGCTTGTTTCACACATATGACACCATTTACACAAGCACTCTTTTAAGATTTGTTAAGTGTAGTCCCGACTGCCCTTGATTCTGATTGGCTACGCACGCTGCAGTACTAAGCACACACTATTATGTATAGCAGCTAAAATGTCCAATGTATAATATTTCTTGTTGAAAATGTGAAAAGAGAAAGAAAGAAAGAAAGGAGTCATCGCTTTTTATGTTACTACTTTGAAGTCAGTCAACCCAAGATATTTTGCTTTTCCGCCATAGTTCTGTTTGCATTTTGTATTCGCAATTCCCTGTCGAAAATAAGAAGAAAAAACGTCAGTAAACGATACCCGTCTTTAAGGCAAATGGCAAAAAACACAAAACAAGTCAAATTTTGAGCTGTCATCGAGTAACACCACAAACTGTTTTGGTGCCAAGCAGCTACCGTATACACTGCAACAGACTAGATGTGAACAATTGGGTCGCCAGCATTTATTTTGTTCATGCTACTAGTATTGTTACGGCCTCAATGATACATGATCTAAGCTGACTGGTTTCAGTACCTTGCTGGATTTTACATCCATTTGCGTTTCTCTACATTCAATACAAGCGGCACCATATGTCAATGTTTTTACTAAAGCTTGAAATTGTCAGTTTAGTTGGAGGTAAATATGCCGCTATTGTCTGCTGGCTGTAAGGCAGCTGTCGCCGGAATGACTCATGATAAATATTATATTATTGCTGTGCTGACCCATTTTTTGGTAACTGCGGTACTTAACTCCTACAGAACAATATATTAGATCTACAGGTTTTTAATTTTCTTTTATTATCCACTTTTTGTTTACTTTGTTACCTAGAATAACGTAACCTAGTTACCTTGAATCACGTATGGAATAATTGGTTGGTATACAGCAAGACATAGTTACAAGCTTGAAAATAAAATACATGTATGTGTGTATCTTAATTTTTAAATTTTTTATCACACACCCGTGCCGATTTTGCGACTCTGTAAATATGGTATTGCACGGCCGTGCATATATTTTGACAGGACGTCATTAGCTTTATACAAACATAGTGTAATGACGCGCTAAATGATAGCGTTATACTATAGGCGCGTCAATGAAAAATGACTCTTATTACACTTTAAACGGTCTATACTTTGGGTATGTGATAAAAAGAATATTAAATTCGTGTAAGTTCATTACTGAATTTATTGCACGAGTTGAATAAAATTATATTATGCGAGCCTCTGGCGAGCATAATATTATTTTATTCAAGAGTATTGAACTTACACTCATTCAGTATTGAACTTACACTCATTCAATATCCTCAAAAATGACTCTTATTACACTTTAAACGGTCTATACTTTGGGTATGTGATAAACAGAATATTAGATTCGTGTAAGTTCATTACTGAATTTATTTGCACTCGTTGAATAAAATAATATTATGCTCGCCAGAGACTCGCATAATATAATTTTATTCAACTCGTGCAATAAATTCAGTATTGAACTTACACTCATTCAATATCCGCTATATATTACATTTAATTATAACATGCTTTTGAGTGAAATGTGAAATCATATGGTGAAAATTCTGTAAAATATGACTAGTCTTTTAATGGAAACAAGAGCGATCAGTAATCACATGTGTCGCCTCATAATGGCCAATTTCATGTTGGGACAAATTTTGTGACAGACGGACAGACAGTGCACAACTAGACTTGGTACTGATCAATCATGTAAAGTTTGGATAAAATTGCACCAGTAGCTTATGAGGAGTAGTCCGGACAAGCTTTTGCGTATCTGGCAACACACAGAAAAAAACACCTTTTTATCAAAGGGCCATAACTCAGCCAAAAATCATTCAACAGGAAAACCCGTGCAATATGCGCAAGGACTTGAGCTACAGATCAATCCTGTAAAGTTTCATTGAAATTGCATAAGTGGTATAAGAGAACTAGTCCGGACAAACATTAAAAATAAAAATTATTAAAGGGCCATAACTCTGACAAAAATCATTGAACCGGAAAATGCTGACAATATGCACAACTAGACTTGGTACTGATCATTCCTGTAAAGTTTGGATGAAATTGCACCAGTAGTTTATGAGGAGTAGTCCGGACAAGCTATTGTGTATCTGGCAACACACAGAAAAAAACACCTTTTTATCAAAGGGCCATAACTCGGCCAAAAATCATTCAACCGGAAAACCCGTGCAATATGCGCAAGGACTTGAGCTACAGATCAATCCTGTAAAGTTTCATTGAAATTGCATTAGTGGTATAAGAGAAGTAGTCCGGACAAACTTTAAAATTAAAATTTATTAAAGGGCCATAACTCTGACAAAAATCATTGAACCGGAAAATGCTGACAATATGCACAACTAGACTTCCTGATCATTCCTGTAAAGTTTGGATGAAATTGCACCAGTAGTTTAAGAGGGGTAGTCCGGACAAGTTTTGTGACGGACGGACAGACGGACAGACAGACGGACAGACAGACGACGGAGAAGTGATCCCTCCGTAGAGGCGACACAAAAATGCTTGCATAACAAATTATTTGGATGAAGAATTAAATGTTATTGACAAATTTCTTAAAAGGCCCTATATCGCAAATTTCGTATTCAAAATGGTGGCATCGATAATATATTGATAAATTTTAATAAGAAAGATTTATCAAATACATGTATATTTACATATGTAGTACGATTTTTAAATGTGAGCACTTTAAAAGCTAGAAAAAAGAAAACATTACAAACTACATTTCATGTTTTACATAATATTTTTATATAATTATTTCTCATTCATCATTGTTAATAAATATCTAAAGCACAGACAATGCATTAAAACAAAATATAAAAAATATAACCAAAAATATCACAGAACCAGTCATCTACATGTACATGCATAAAAAAGTTAAATACAAACTCCATACTAATTTATAGTGACTAATTCACAGTGACGAGTTCTAACCGGCAGTGACACATCACCCTTCTTGTCACACATGAAGTATAACATTTTAATATATAAAGTACGAAAAAATATCAATTCTTCTGTTCAAGGCATGGCAATGTAATCATACCAGGTAAACAATCCCGAAAGGCACATATCTTTTCCCTACTTGTTTTTATGATACCATGTTCATCTTTTCCCTGTGAACTTTTTTATTAAATCAACCCACATTTTAGCTGGGGGCTATATACATATATATTTTCTTTATAAAAATGATATGATGACATTTTTTCTCAAACAAAGATTTTTAAAGACAAAATACTAATACTGGCATAAACATATCTATTTCAACCACATATGTCCGCAAGCTTTTCCACGAAAATAACGTTAGTACGTTGCTTTCTTTTCAAACTCATTCTTTTCCATGTTTACCGAAACGCGCAAATGCAAATTGTGACATAATTAATGGTACACCCTGTATATTGATCCCATGATGTAACATCAATGTTTTCAAAGTCTGTATATTATTTCACAATATGGACCACTTATATCACACCTGTTACATATGAAATGATAGCAACAAACAACATGATGACGTATGTACAACGCTTCAAGTATCACGTGACACGAGGAACGATAATGATTGGTCCTTTTCCAGATTTAAAAATATCAGTGTCAGCTGACTGCTTGCTTGAGGTTGTAGATTTTCTGAAAGAAACAAAAAAACTTTGAATTTAAGAAATTGGTAAAAATTTCAGTCCTTGAGGAGAGTAAAATATAATATCATTAAATCACGGAATATACTACTCATTACAATATTTACAGACAACTAAACATTAAGATTGCTCTGTAAATGACACCTTCATTTTATGTCATTAAATAACAGAGAGATCTTTTGCTTCATCTCAATCCAGATAGGTAGCAATAACAATGTAGTGTACATGTCATGACATCCCGGACGTACGGGAATGTCCCAGAAATCTTGGGAATGTCCCAGAAATCTTGTGACAGTTACGGGTGCGTCCCGGAAATCATTTTTGTCCCTTGTACTTTTTTTGAATATATTTTAAGTATATTCTAACACATTCAAAAGTCCTTTAATAAACATGATACTGTAATGGAATATTTAAGTAACTCTTAACGGTAAAAATCTGTAAAACTTTTCAGAGAATGAATTATGTCTTATGATCAATGCCCTTTTATATATCGCTTGTAAATAATCCTTACCAAGTAAAATATCTTAAAAATACATATCCGTCTTTCAATCTAGATTTAACAATTCATCATTTTTAGGAGAAAATTCAAATTATATACTGTATTAATTACGAAAAAATGCACCGGTTGCATCCAAGTGTAGAATTTATTACCCCTCGTAACAGGCTAAAGTTAACTTAATCTATACAAAGGTCAAAATAAACCTGTGATTGATGTAAAAAATAAAATGAAAGTGATAATACTATTGTGTAAAAAGATTTGTAAATGTGACGAGTGAATTAATAAGCTTCAGAATGTTAGAATAATGAACAATGGAAATAGAATGTCTACAAAAAACAAAAAAGTAAACATTAAAAGCATGTAAAGACTTCTCATAGATTTAAAATTGAAAGTAAATAAAGATAGAAAAATTCTCAGACTGCATAAGGGAAATCCTTGGAGAGAGTATTAAAAACCAATTGCCGGCCAAACAAATGCCTTCATACAGACCGTTTTAGCATTCTCAAATTAAATTTAGTCCATGATATTGAGATATGTGCATTGATGCGGTTAAGTTAAAGAACCATTGGAAAATATTAAGCTTGCAGCAATGATTTTCAGTGAGTTACCTAAGCCAAGGACTTATCCTTGCCAAAAGGTGGTAAGCATAAATCTACAGCATTTATGTTACCTGTATCTATTTTAGACTGCATTTAACTATGGTAGTCAACTTTTCAAAAGAAAATTTCTGATAAACACATTTACTATGAACGTGAGTTAAAAAGCAACTATGAACAAATGTTAACAACTATGAACATATGATAAAATTTAACAAAGACAATCACATGTACTGGGAACAAACTCCAAACATACGTGACTTATTGTTAAAGAATGAACTTCTTGTTATCAGTCTAAACGAAATAACAAAATCTAATAAACTGAATTCTGTACTGAGCAACCTTTTATTTAATTAGGAATTTTAAAGTAATGCTAGATGTCCGATTTAGCATCAGTTTAGCTAGTCTATAGAACAGTATTTCAGGTATCATTTCAGTCATATTAAAACACTGGGCAGTTAACTTGCTTATGAATAGTTAACAAGTACTTAATTGACATTCTACAATCAATGTTATGTTTCACAGAAAGTGATAGAGAGCTAAAAAAATATTGTAAGAAACCAAATTGTCATAAAGAAGAAAGTGTCTGAGATATATTGACCCAAATGCCCTTAAAATGAGCTTACTCAAATGACCTTTAACCTGTCCTCACAAAATACATGTACAATATAAAACAAGGAAATGGTAGCCACAGAAGATCTATGTAGCAGTGTGATACTTTAATAGATCTATGTCACACAGAAATATGACAAAAACGACAAATACATGTTTTATGTAGGTGTATGAAACTAAAAAAAGATCAATATCATGAAGAAGAAAAAATTACAATGCTCTATGTCACGTAGAAGATGAATGTCAAAGAATTTCTCATGGAGAAGCATGACAAAAATCTGTGTCATGTAAAAGTATGAACACAAAAAAAGTTCAATGTAGTTTAGAAGCATGATAATAACAAAACTCTATGTCAGGTAGAAGATTAATGTCAAAACTCTATCTCATGGAAAAGCATGACAAAAAATCTATGTCATGTAAAAGTATGAAAATGAAAAAAGATCAATGTCATATAAAGTATGATAATAACAAAGATTTATGTCATGTAAAAGCATGACAAATGTATGATCCAGGGGTTTTCAAGCTTTCAGCATGCTCAGTGCAGAAATATTCTCTACAAATTAGTGAAATTTTCCAGAGAGTTGTAATTTACATTGTTTCTTACCACGTGACTTTTGTCAAATTCTGTTGGTTACCTAGTCTAAAAATAATGACGAAATATGAATCATTTTGTTCAGCATTACATTAAATCAATGTGTTTAATGTAAGACTGAAACATAAAATATCAAATCAATGTATGACAGATTTATGCAAAACGACAAACTAATATTAAAGGAATTTCATACAGACTAATATGAATTATGGCTTTTACCAATGATTTTGTGACTTGAATTTGTCCTACATGATGGATATGGAACAGTTCACAATTTGTATAAGGGTTGCCACAATAATAATAAAAAAACTTTTCAGAGTTGTTTCGCCTACTTTTCAGAATGATTTTGCCTGTAGCATAAAACTTTAGCAAAAATGACCCAATTTACTAGTTGGTCAAAATAAAGGGCCAAATAATATGGCTCTTTAATTACATCATATTATTTATGCCATATTTGATTAAAGAAATAAGTATTGTGAACATATATTGGCCCATTGACTGGTCCAACAGCATACTGTTGATAAGGTATGCTGCCAATCTTGACACAATCACTCTATGTTTCAAAGCTATGTTTCAAAGTAAATTTTTTGTTTTTTTTATACTATTGATTCATGACACTTTTCCACTGAATATTTTTGCTTATTTCTTTTATTATATACTTATCAATGAAAAGTTTAGTAATATTGATGAAAAAAAATGCGTAGTGCATTTTCTGTATTTTCACTATAAAAAAACATTTTTCTCTGCAGTGAAACATATTTCCATATTTTCACTGGTGTCTTGCCACACTAATTTTTTTTAATTCAACAAAAACATAAAATTTATGGGGAAATCTTTCAAATTGAAATGTCAAAAAGAAATGTATATAATAAACAGAAAATTCAAGTTTTTACTGTAAATACATGATTTATTTTCATCTTGTGGCATGAAAATTATCATATTTCACTCCTGGCTACTGTTACTCATGAAATATTTATTTAATATAATATTTATTATTTTAATACCACTTGATGAAAACAAATCATGTATTTATAGAAAAAAACATGAATATCCTCTATATATAACTAACCAATAAGACAACATACCTTGCAGGTCTTTCAGGTAGAGGCACAACATCAGCTGGGATATCTTCTCTGTCATTCTCTGACATTATCTGGTTTTCTATTTGAAATAAACCCAAATACACTTATATTAACAAAAATTCACCAACACAAACAAAATTAAGCCTTAATTAAGCTATAAACTAATTGTCTTCATGCACTTTTCTATCTTACAATATAACTGATAAAATTCTCTGTACCATTCTACACTTTACATTTACATCAGTGACATATGTTTAGTTCAGTGTAAGATCTTAATTTATTATATACTTACAAATGAAATATTGAGAAATATTGATGAAATAGAATGTGTATTTTCATTTTCCATATTTTCACTGTAAAAATTTATTTTTCACTGCAGTGAAACATATTTTCCGTATTTTCACTGGCATCTTGCCGGACTACCACCACTCATAAAATATTTATTTTCATAACACTCGATGAAAATAAATCATGTATTTATAGAAAAAACTTGAATATCCTCTATATATTTCACCGAGTGAGCACCAGAAGGTATATTTCATGAGTGGCGCAGCCACGAGTGAAATAAGAACTTTTGGTGTTCACAAGGTGAAATATATTTCGATCTTACACTAAACTAAACAAATTTTCTTTTAATTGTATGCAAAGAAACGTTTTAAAAAGACATTAAACCTAATACTGAATGAAAAGCGCCCCAAATAATAATACAAGGTGATGTCATTTACGATGTCACATCATTAAGCTGGTACCCAGTACTGTGAACGCTGGTATTTCACTGAAATAACGTAAAGGGCTTAAATTCAAAACAGTGAAATTATCAAAGTGGTAGTTTCAATGTTTCAAACAGTGAAATTTCCAGTTTTTTATCACTGATATATTTCTATAAACCACCGAAAAGCATGTAATAAATAACCTTTATCACTACAAGTACATCAGTCACAGAGAATCACATCAGAATCCATTCAATACTTTAAATTAGAACAAAATATTTGAGGGTTTTTTTCTTTGTGAGTTTCAGCTTTCTTCAAATATGTACATTTAAATATCACTCTTAAATGCTCACAATGTGTAAAATATTCAACTTTCTCTTTAGACAATGTACAGTCTGTGTTTGTTTCTGACCAATCAGATTTGAGTTTAGACTGAGAATATTTCTTTATAACCTCTAAACCTTACTCTATACTGCTGGACCGCGTTGTTCAAAACATTGGTTAAAATTAGCCAATGGATAGCTTATCCACTGGTTAAATCCTTAACCAGTGGCCAGTTATCCAGTGGATAAAATTTCATTGTTCGACAGTTGGATAGTACACTGGCTACCTAACCAGTGGATAGCGTGTTTATCCACTGGTTAAGTACCACAATGCAACAGGGTTGGTTAGTGATTCTGGAAACAAAATGGCTGATTTTTTGATGAATAATAACATTATTAGAATCAAAAAGCTCCCAAAAAATAATTTTGCATGTTTTGTGCCTTCTTGTTTTTGGAATTAAACAAAAAGTATATCAGAGGCCTTAAAGTATTGATAGACTTATTTTTCCCTTAGACACACATAAGAAAAAAATCAAAAACAATTTTTTTTCAAATTTTGAATTGAAATTACTTCCATTAGATGAGAAATGTTCTAACTAAGAAAATGAGTACCGACACTTGTATGTTTTATTAAAGAATAAGAAAGTTATGACTGTTTAACTGAATTTTCTGAACTACAACAACAACAAATTTAGATTGAAAAAGGGTTCTAAAAGCACTTTTTTCAGAAATGTTTCAATTCAATCCTATGCATTTTATATGAAATGTTCTAGTTAAGAAAAATAAACATATATTTTTAAGAAAAATCTGGTTTTAAACAAGTTTTAATGATTTTTACAGTTTTAATGATGATAACTAACCACTGGTTAAGGGCATTATCCGGTGGTCATAGGACTGGTTAAAGTTAACCGCTGGATAACAAATTTTATCCGTTGGATAAGTTTTGAGCAACAGAATTTATCCAACAGACAAAATTTAACCAGCGGATAATTAATTTAACCACTGGTTAACACTAACCAATGTTTTGAACAACCGGATCCTGGTTGCTCACATAAATTATTTCGATATTAAAATCCCTCTATTTAAAAATTGACAGTTGTAAAGTTAAAGCATAACAAGTTCATTAAACAGCAGGTTGAAAATTTAGGAAAACCACAAGGCTCACAGAGACTCTCTTGGACTACTGGGATCCTTTATATCTATAATCTAAAACTGATTTATAATCAGTTTACCATACAAAATCTATTACTGTCAAATATTCCTGAACAATATATACCTGAGAGTGGTTTTGTTGTTTTTTTACTTTGAAATGGAAAGTGTGTATGTGATTAGACAGGATGACTTTTGAAACAAACAAAAAAAGTACTATTCGACACAAATAGATTTTGTCCGGTTAACTGATTGTCCGGTAAATATGAAGGAAACTCAGTAATTATGTTAATAATGTATAAAGTAGATCATTTTTGTAAAACATTACCATCTGTAGAGAAGATTGCCGTTCCACGTCCACTTGGCGCCGACACAGTGTAAGATATATAGTCTTTCTCTTGTGGTGCACCTGGTGTGGCATTTGGATTGATAGGTTTTGCATATTTTGGAATATCAGGCTGAAATATACGGTTTTGCAAAACAGTTAACATAAGTATTGCAAATATCTTAGAAAAAATTATATTGTCAATTTCAGCATTATAGAGTATTTCAAAATAACATATTATTACATGCTTTTCGGTGGTTTATAGAAATATATCAGTGATATAAAACTGGTAATTTCACTGTTTGAAACAGTGAAATTACCACTTTGATAATTTCACTGTTTTGAATTTAAGCCCCTTACGTTGTTTCAGTGAAATACCAGCGTGCACAGAACTGGGTACCAACTTAATGACGTGACGTCATAAATGACGTCACGTTGTATTATTATTTGGCGCACTTATCATTCAGTATTAGGTTAAATGTCTTTTTAAAACGTTTCTTTGCATATAATAAAAAGAAAATTTGTTTAGTTTAGTGTAAGAACGAAATATATTTCACCTTGTGAACACCAAAAGTTCATATTGCACTCGTGGCTGCGCCACTCGTGAAATATACCTTTTGGTGCTCACTCGGTGAAATATATTCCGATCTTACACTGAACTAAACAAATATCCTCTATATATTTTATTCTAACACTACCCGCATTTTTTCCCTATTGAACATAGAAGGACTGAAAGTGTGTGATATTATGCAATAAAATCACTCTTTACATTCTATATCTAGAAATGTAACGTAAGCATAATAGATGTGACGTAACTATTAAAAATACGATGCGCTGAAAAAAAGTACGGAAACAAATCAGGCACAATTTAGCTTAATACCAGGTACTGCTGCATTTATTTGTTGATATCATGTTAGAATTGAAACAATATATCCAAATCAGCGATTTTATTAAGCGATAAAATTAATGTTTTAGATGTATTATTTCTTAATTATAAGATGTACAATGTCAAATGCCAGGAGATAATCCTGGATAATCTGAATGTAGTTCAACAAAGAAACATTGGTTCCTATTCTGTATGCATTGAATCAGAAACAAAAATAAAATTTTGCACAGTTTATCGCTTAGATGGTTGGCAATTATTCGCTCATACCTATATGATTATATTACTGTGCAATTGAATGCAAACCATGCAATAAGATGCAAAAAAGCTCTCAACATCAAATGCTGGTTCTGATTTATAAAAATATATGCCAAAATTTTGAAAGTATTAAAGTAGTTGGGTAAATTCACACAGATGTAGTAATTAAATTAATTTATCACATAAATTACAGCACAGGAGTGATATTAAGCAATTTAATGAAAAGATATTAAACTTGTGTAATAACACTCTGACTTGACATCATTAATTTTGCCCTATATACAAAAATGGTGTAAAAGCGCACAAATGCGTTACACTTTAGGTGAGTAATGAAAAATTATTCTTTTTAACTGTAAACTATTAATTTTGAATATGTGATAAAATGAATATCCTATTCATGTAGATTCAATACTAAATTTATTGAACTTGTTGAATTAAACAATTTTATGCATGCCAGATGCTCCCATATAATTTTATTCAACTTGTTCAATAAATTTCATATTAAATCTACATTCATTTAATATCCCTCTATATATAAACAGCAATTTCATACAATATGTAAATTATACTTACCAATGGTCTTTTAGTAGGGCTAGCATGCTTTGATGAAGGATGAATTCCAATTGGAGCATCCGCCTGAAAAAGAACAATTACAAAACAAGATATTACATCAGGATGAGGTCATTTTGCCATTTTGAGTAAAGCTGTAAAATTATATGCTATTATAAGATAATACTTAAGAATGAAATGATATTTATAGGAGAAAGCAATTCTTATATGGTAGTTAATAAGTTTTTATTACATGCTTTTCGGTGGTTTATAGAAATATATCAGTGATAAAAAACTGGTAATTTCACTGTTTGAAACAGTGAAATTACCACTTTGATAATTTCACTGTTTTGAATTTAAGCCCCTTACGTTGTTTCATTAAAATACCAGCGTACACAGTACTGGGTACCAACTTAATGACGTGACGTCGTAAATGACGTCACGTTGTATTATTATTTGGCGCGCTTTTCATTCAGTATTAGGTTTAATGTCTTTTTAAAACGTTTCTTTGCATGTAATAAAAAGAAAATTTGTTTAGTTTAGTGTAAGATCGAAATATATTTCACCTTGTGAACACCAAAAGTTCATATTTCACTCGTGGCTGCGCCACTCGTGAAATATACCTTTTGGTGCTCACTCGGTGAAATATATTTCGATCTTACACTGAACTAAACAAATATCCTCTATGTAATTGCATAAGTAACTGATATGTGATAACTTATTACTGTTTGAACGCCATGTAATAAATAATTACTGGATAACTTACTGAGTAGCTAACTGCTGTGTGATAATTCATTTCTGGATAACTTACTGTGATAATTAATTACTGGATGACTTACTGTGTAGCTAACTGTTGTGTGATAATTTTTTTCTGGATAACTTACTGAGTGTGATAATTAATTACTGGATACAGAGTAGGTTACTACTGCGTGATAATTATATCTGGAACTTACTGAGTGTGATTATTAATTACAGGATAACTTACAGAGTAGCTAACTGCTGTGTGATAATTAATTACTAGATAACTTACTGAGTAGCTAACTGCTGTGTGATAATTAATTACTGGATAACTTACTGTGTAGCTAACTGCTGTGTGACAATTAATTACAAGATAACTTACTGAGTAGCTAACTGCTGTGTGACAATTAATTACAAGATAACTTACTGAGTAGCTAACTGCTGTGTGATAATTAATTACTAGATAACTTACTGAGTAGCTAACTGCTGTGTGATAATTAATTACTGGATAACTTACTGTGTAGCTAACTGCTGTGTGACAATTAATTACAAGATAACTTACTGAGTAGCTAACTGCTGTGTGACAATTAATTACAAGATAACTTACTGAGTAGCTAACTGCTGTGTGATAATTAATTACTAGATAACTTACTGAGTGTGATAATTAATTACTGGATAACTTACTGAGTAGCTAACTGCAGCATGGTGAAGATTAGCAGCCTGTCTCTGTAATTGTTGTCTTATATAACTCTCATCTTTCAATGCATGTAAACTGTAAAACATGAAATTGTATGCATTATAAACATACACGTTCCTTAATCAATTAAAATTAGCTTGAATCTGGCAAAGAAATAGAATATAGCTAAGCTTCCTAGGTAGAAAGCATAAAATTATCTTGATGGATAAAAAAGCTAAGTGAATCAAGTATTTTAGACTCGTAATGCCAGCATGTTCAAATATAGAAAAATGTTATTAGCTAGCATTATGCATTTCATAAACTCTCGTTTTCAAAATTTCACCAAAAGTTATTGTCTTTAAGAAATTTACAGACACTAAGTTTGTAGCCTCTTTATCACTTATTTGTCTGAGAGTGAGAATGTCTACGGTAACCCTTTTTTTGAGGAAATTGTATTTTCACAATATTTAGGAATAGTTATCAATTCTGAGTGCATTGTTATAGAATAATCTATTTCCATTCTAGCATGCAAATAAAAAAAATAGAGAATTGATAAAAATATGTTGAACTACATTGATAGTAGAAGTATTTTTCTGACAGCATATGATTTATTGACATCATATCAGACGTTATATGATGTGCAGGCATTCCTTTTTTTTGTTATTAATAATTCACTTGACTGCCCTATCAGTATGGTATAAAAAGTAAAACTTTCTTCAACTTCTATACAAATGTTGAAATAAAATGTTGGGTTATGTATTGTTAACCCAGACTTTACCTCTGTTGCAAGATGGCAAACTTCTTTTCCCAGGTTCTGTGTATACGCTCAATTTCACGTTTTAGTCTGGAAAGATAATTGTTCAACAATAAAATCTTGCATTTGTTATGTTGTCATACATGTTATAATAAAAAATGTGGTAAAAACAATGAAAAAATAGCACCCCCCCCCCCCCAAGCAAACAAGTTACCTTGCAACTTCCTCCCGCAGCATTTGTTCACTTTTTCGTATTTTATTCACATCTGTATCACCTTTCAATGCCTCCGCGAGTTTTGCTCTTTCCTGTTATAAAAAAACATCATTTAAACTTTCATTATAACTACAATCAAACATATGCCTTCTACAGTATTTGAAACATTATATGTGAGTAGAAATAACCTTTTTATTGTATTATCTAACTGGAATTAATGAAAAGATTAAAATTTACTGGTTAAAGGAAATGAAAATGAAAGAACCTTAACTTCAAACATTATAGCTTACCTCTGGCATTTATACAAACATCAAGGACAGTAATTTTAATGAACAATAAGACAACTAAATACTGTGACACATTTTGATCAAACAGAATTGCCTTTTCTCAAAAATGCCACATAAATTTAGCCACATTATCTGGAGTTTTCATTTCAAATACTGTTAAATAAGTATCTTTTAAAAAAAGGAACCTTTTACCTCATTTCAAATTTAACATTCACAACATCTCAAATCAGATATTTTTTATTATCATGCTAATTGGTGATCCAATAAAATACGAAAAAAAAAGCAGGAAAATTTAAGTTGTTAGTATGCATGCATCATTTTCATAACATTACAAGACTTTCAAATCTGGTATAACAACTTTATAACAATTTTGGATAGGTGAACAACAAATGTCCTGGTGAAGTAAATGCTCTGCCACCATAGTAATTGCGCTGAGACATTAATGTGGGTGAATACAATATAGAAAATGTGTATATACAACAGCCAGTAACCTTCAATCCAAACTAAGTGATCTATCCTAGTAGATGAAAAATGACATGAATTAACAGTACAAACAAGATGAAAATAATGTATACACTTTGATTATACCAAGTTTTAAGTAACACTAGCACTAAATTAAAGGTATATCTATGGCCATTCTCAAGCTTTACGGGCAGAGACAGATCCCCGGTGACTGGTCTCTGAGCTTTATTTGAAACACAAGGAAGTAACTGGGTAGAACCATTGATTTTCGATAGCTACATCCATCTCAAAAGATTATTCAGTCCCTCACAAGATTCAAACACACAATTATGAGTGGCTTAATGATTCAAAGTCAGTAATCTGAACCACTTGACCACTGGACCTCTGATTTCAATTAACTTCCCATTAAAAGGATGACATCACAATATTAAAGTAATTCAATTTAACTTTTGCACTTATTGAACCGTCAATATCCCGTCATTCTGTCCAATTAACGCTTATCAGTGAAATAACTGTACTAGTGAGTTATTATAAATATTATTCACCTTGATTTTTTAATTTCACATGAAAGTAAGATATATTTTATAACTACATCTTTAACATTCATTTATTAAATTGAAATCATGAAGCTTAATGGCTGAAAATATTCAAAAGTTTCATATTATCTCAGTGAAATATATTCCATATTTAATTATACAATCAGTATACATTACCATCACCGTAACCATTATTACCAGAGTAGGCAATACAATGTGAAAAGTAGTATTAATTATGTAAATCACAGAGAATAATAAATCATATGGGTAAATTATTTACTCATTATTTCAATCATCAAAAAGTGAAAATATAATGATTTTAGACATATGAAATAATGTTTATAATAGTTGTATATTATATGGGATTATTCATACAAACAATGTGAAGTTTGTCTCGTGAACAGACATTCTTTTGTCATCACAATCATGTTCTTCCTTTGTAAAAAAATATTTTATTATGAAGATTTGTTTTAAATAAGTAAGACAATTATTTTATTACATGACATCACTTTTTTCAATTAATTGTATATGTAATATTTAGGTTTTACCCATGGAATATGGTGCTTTATCAGTCAAATATACTTCATATTTGTTAAAAACAAATATGAAAAATAGTTATGAAAGTGGGAATATATTCCATATTTCACTTGAACGATAAAACTGAAGAATACAAAAATCCTTTTCTTATTTAATACAATGTACATGTAGTCATTAACTAGCCTGCGTTATATTTCAAACATACTGATGGACAACAACTTGCGTGTCATAGGTTCCTACATTTTTATGTTTCCAGAACCTGCTGTAAGTCCAGTGAAAAACCCAAGCATATTTATTTTTAGATCTGCCAAACAAGTCATGACATTGATGTTAATGCATAAAACTTGCCAATTAATAAAACTGAGTGATTAACGCTTCAAGACTAATAATTCAATGATCGCTAGCCGCATGGGTTCAAACCCTGACAGGGGCAAGTCGTTGTTTCCTTGAGCAAGAAGCTTTATAATGATTCCTTGATAATGGTTGGTTCCTGGGGAACTGATCCAAAAGTGTGTCTATAAATTTATAGCTTCCTACATGATCAAACTAAAAAAATTCTGTATAAACCAAATCCATATGATTTGAATGTAGCACTGCTCGGACTTAACTTTGACTAAACAATCAAATTCCAGTCAAAAGAAAAACAAGAGAAAATGAGAACCTTCTGCACAGAATAATACATGTGAAAATGATATACATGTATATAGGTGAGATATCTAACCTCATTAAGTTTGCCTTGAAAGACCTGCCATGACAACAAGAAAAGTTATATACTTATGGTCACAATAATTATATGTATTTTAAAACTTTGAACTTGAAAAAATAGGGTTATAATCATTAAATAAACCTTAAAACTTATCCTCTGTTGATTGTTTGATCCACTTTTATTTTTTCTTATTAGATAAAATACTATCAGAGATTTAAAGAAAAAAACAAACTCTTTTTAAAATACTCTACCTTTTAATTTGGAAAATTATAGCATAGATATAAATCTGTTTAAAATTATCAGAAAAATAAAAAAATATATAAAAAACATTCACTTTTTGTGATTGACATACATTATATAAATAGCCCATATAACTGAGATTATAGTGAGGAATTTTCACAATTTTTCAGAAGTAAAAAGTTATGATGCACAATTTTCAACTGTTTCTTCAGTTTGGAAAATACCTTAAGTTGGTCTCAGTACTTTACAAAAGAATAAAAAAATGTTTACATTTCTTATGTGGTATAATCATAACCTTGATTATTTTTAACACTCTGACATCTTATACCCTTAATGTAGATTAGAACAAAGTCACATACTATTAGAAAATATTTCTAACTCAAAGTGAATGTATTAAAAATTATGATATCTTAATTTCTTTTGAATAATGATATGACTGTAATATGCAATCAAACACTGACTGTCGGTACAGATGGGAATATCTAGCTCGGGTAACTGTGTAGCGAAAACTTGGCAGAGCCTGAGACGATACTGCTGTAAACAGTTACCCTTGAGCTAGATATTCCGATCTGTACCGGCAGCCAGTGTTAAAGATTCTTATAATCTAGCTCTCAGAATCAGTCTGATAAGTGTCTAGATGAAACTCTGCAGAGCCTCGTTACACTGTAAACAGTCTCCAGTAAGATATTCCAGTCTGTGCAAACAGTCCGTGATAGATTCTCATAAAATATAACTGTAAAGAATGTTTAAAGAGGAAATATATACCCTAGCAAGTTCTTCCTTGAGTTTCCTCTCCTGATCATGTAAATGCGCCATCTTATCTTTCTCGGCCTGCTCTCTAGCTCGTAGCTGGGCCTCGGCTGCTTCACTTGTCTATTAATTAATAAAACAGTTTCATAACAACATATTTATAAAACTTATAATCTGTAGAACCCAAAATTAAATGTTATATATTTCATTTAAATATATGCATTATGAAACCTCATTTATTTTGTCATTTCATGTTTACATCAGCAGGCAATCAGCATAACATGTCCGTGTGATCAAGCATGATGTCAACATTGCAGACACACAATGCTACTACATTAATTTTTACAATGAGGTTGCATATAAAATAATTGATAAAAAGATTTTTACTAGACCAAAAAATTGGCGCTATTGCTACTTATGCAACATATCCTGTTCTCGCAATTTCCACTTCAGTCAAATACAAGACTCAGGGTTCTAAATAAATATGCTCCTTACAAAAACCTTATATCACCTTAAAATGCACTTCAGTACAATTCTTAAATTGATAAATTAAGTAAAGATATTATACCACATGAAGAAATGAAATTTTATTCCCATTTGTATTGAAAACAAAGGGAGGTAATGTTCTTCACATTATATCCCTTGTTTTAAATGCAACAGAACTGAATTTAAGGATTTTCAAACTTAAGTTTTAGATATATAGAAATATAATAAAATCATATTTCTTTTTTCCTTCCCTATATAAACTAACAAAAAGAACCCCTCAAAGAACAATCATTTGCATATAAAAGACCAATTACCTTATACAAATGAGGACATCCTTTATGTTATTTTAATAACCATACTTACAGCTAGTTGTGCCTGGGCCATTTTTTCACGCATCATTCTCTCCATTTCTTCTTTCTGTTTTGCCATCTATATTTATAAATAAATTTGTCTGAATATAATACATGCATTATAGTTTTCTTGTGCACAACATGCTTAATATACAAATCAAGGTGGTCAGAAAATAAAAGAACTTCATGTCAGCTGAATGTAATTCCACATCAATGAAACTGAAAATCAGACTACTGTCAGTCATCCAAATGACTAGAAGAGAATTTTATGTCACCTCAGAAAGAGAATTTTATGTCACCTCAGAGAAGAGATTTTTTCTTGCCACCTGAGAATAGAATTTTATGTCACAAGAAAAGAATTTTATGTCACTAGAATAAAATTTTATGTCACCTGAGAACAGAATATCATTTCACCTGAGAATAGAATTTTATGTCACAAGAAAAGAATTTTATGTCACTAGAATAAAATTTTATGTCACCTGAGAACAGAATATCATTTCACCTGAGAATAGAATTTTATGTCACCTGAGAATAGAATATCATTTCACCTGAGAATAGAATATCATTTCACCTGAGAATAGAATTTTATGTCACCTGAGAATAGAATATGATGCCATTAGAATTTGTTATCAGAAGAGAATTTTATGTTTTAAGAGTAAAAAATCATGTCACCACTGTATAGATAATAATGTAGAATACCAAGTCACCAGAAAGGAATTTCATTGCATCAGAATAAAGTATTATGCTAGCAAAAAAGAATACTTCTAAATAGTGTTTTTTTGTTTTTGCACATTTATAATTACATGTAATATTAATTGACAATTAAGCAGAAAAGTTAGCTAATTTCTAAAATCTGAAAACTTGTTATAGCATAAATTATCTTTCAAAAACTTTTTTTCTACTCAATCTATTTAGGTATTAGACATAGTTTATACATTCAAATGAATGTAAAAAATAAAATGATGGGTGCTATGGTTTTTGAATAATTTTACCCTCACAGTTTAAAATTATAATGGAACTTTCCAGTTGTACAGTTGTAAAGTTTGAATTCAAAGGAATTGAGGTCAGTTAAAGCTTGCAAACACAAAGGAAATGATTGGTATTGTAGCAATTCTGGAGATATTATTTTGTTTAAAATGTAAGGGTGCAATTATTTTTGATTTCTCAAAGAATACATTAAAAGTCTCATTAGTGTGGCAAATAGAAATGAGAAGTTTTAACTGAAGTGTGAATGTGTAGATTATAACATTAGACAAGAAGATAAACAGCAGAATCATTCCCAGTCAAAGTTTCAGGTAAGCAACTTTTACATACCATTATTATTATTATTTATGCAGAAACTGTTAAGTTTTTTAACAGTAAAAATATGAAATGGTATTGTATAAAATTATGTTTTAAATTTGTTTTGTTTGTAACTTGACTAAAAAAGAAAGCTGCATGTACACACAAAGAATTAAGCATTATAAAGAATGTAGGAAGAACTTCATCATTTCATAAATACAGTATGTTAGAAATTTTAAGTTTGAGAAAATAATTATAGAAATTAATTAGTATGTACAATATCATTATGTACAATATATATTATATCAATCAAACTATAGATAACCAGGTACCTATTACTACAACTTTCATGCTATAAAATTTTTCCTTGTGTGTCACATGTGAAGCAGATCAACAGTAACTGTTTTATTAGTAAGTTTCATTCTTTCATTGTTGTAATTCAGCTTTCATGGTGCAGTAGATATATAACTAGACAGTCTAGAGTAACAGGCTGTTAGGAGAATGACAGTTCATAACAGAAACAGCATTAAATAAGATTTTTTCTTTTGCAGACACAAAGCAATGAGGAGCGGCCTGGAGCAACATGCTTGTTCTTCAGTGGCTTTACAAAGGTATCTTGCTTTGTTTCTCAGTTAATTCAAAGATTTTAGAATTGATAGGAAAGAAGTGTCACAGTACCCAATAAGACACTTTTCAGTTCTTAATAAATATAGCTATTAGGCACAGTATTTACAAACCTACTTTTATTCAAACTCTTTATGACACTTTAATTTGCATTTACATTTCGTTCTACAAATTTTAGAGTTTTTGTACACCTAAAGATTGAAAATTTTGTCAAATATTTATCCTGATGAAATGACGTACGCTAAGAACTGAAACTGGAAGATTATCAAATTACTTAACCTGCACTGATGTTGACGTGTTGTATTTTTTTATTTCTTTCTTATTTTAAAATTTTTGAGTTGTATACATATACCGTGTTTCATTTTCTCTCTTTACTTACTGGATATTGATAATTATATTTTAGGTCCAAGTGATGGCAGAACTAAGGCACTATGCCTCAAATGAGAAAGGTACAACAGGGCTCTTCAGAATGCTATTCAGTAAAGAAGAGATTAAAGGCTGCTCATGGTTTGGAACTGAGAGTCTGACGCCAGACCTGCTTGTGCAGACAAGGCAAAACTTAAGTTCTTGACAGGTAACTAATGAACTGAATGAAAATATCATTTTTGATTCTGCGTATATTTTCTGCATTGGAGTAAATAAGAAAAGTCTGATTTTTCCACATCTGCAACGCTGTTTTGTAAAGGTTTTAATCATATCTATTGCACTCAACTTGAATATAGAAATATCCAATATTCATGATTGTAAAAATGTAAGTTTAATGTTTTTAATTATTGTATTAATTATTCATCATATTTTTTTGTTTTAGATTGTGTGCTGGAACAGTGGCTGACAACCCAAAGGACTGAAATCCATAGGGTGATTCTGCACCTCCTCAAAACGTCCAGGAATAGAAAGATAAACTGAAGATAATAAATGGACTAATGTGTTGCTATTTTTTGAGACAATAAATTCATATGGAGACATTAAAAAGGATAATTTGTTTGTTTCTCTTTTAGGGTACAGGGTGAATTTTTAAGCAGTTTCCAGCTATTGCCACCCACAAGGTGGAAATCTGAAAGGGTGGAAATAGGTGGCATTTAGTGGAAACTGAATTTGCCACTTTGTGGTGGAAAAATGGTGGAAAAATGTCTAAATACTCCACCAACATTCCACCCTTATGGTGGCAAAAGGTGGAAATAAGTGGCATTTGGTGGAAAATGAGTTTGCCACTCAATGGTGGCATAATGGTGGAAATTTGTCTAAATACTCCACCATCTTTCCACCATGATGGTGGCAATTAGTGGAAACAAGTGGCATCTAGTGGAAAATGAGTTTGCCACCCTAAGGTGGCATAATGGTGAAAGTTTGTCTAAATACTCCACCAATTTTCCACTCATTGGTGGCATTAAGTGTAAAAAAAGGTGGAATTAACTGGAAAATTATATACGATCAGTCCTGCTCAAATTTTTCACCATTTCCATGATTTTGGTGGCATTTTGGTGGCATTATTGGTGGAAAATTGTCTAAATACTCCACCATTGAAAAGGGTGGCATTTAAGTGGCAAATCTAGGGACGGGTAAACATAAGTGAATGGCCAATGGCCCTTCAGAATGTTGCTGGGGTTCTAACCGGTAGGGGACTTATGGATTGCTTGCAATATTATGATAATTGCTTGTTTTTCTATTTTCTTGACAATGAATTGTAAATAAAATTTCAAAATGTAAGTAAGATATATTGAAATTTGTATGGTCCAAATGTGAACAAAATCCGTCCACAAATAATCAATTTATACCGAAAAATGTAAGTGTCGGGTTATAAGTGCCTTTGTGTGTAAAAAATTGTAACATGTACGATCTATGTACCAACTGGAGTATATTAAACAAAATAAGAATAGTTTACTACTGTGGAAGAAAACATCAAATCCTTTCACACGGATTTATATCAGCTTAACTTAGATTTAGGTTGATGGAAAGAAAATTGACAAGTGATACAAATCAGCACCATATTTGTCTACACTAGAAATACCCTAGAGGAATTAAACCGTCTACTTACGAAACTTTTATTCTGTCACATTATACTCTGAAAATCGTATTCCATTTAAAATATGTCTAGGTAAAATTACTTTTGTTAAAAAAGAAACGTATCACAGCTACATGACATTTTAAGTAAATATTATCAATAGAAACAAACTATTGAAACGGTGAATCTTTATGATGCCTAATAGATTTTCAAAATATTAAATGTCTCAACAGACGAGGATAATTTCTTCATTCATTCATTTTCCAACAGTGTTGAGTGAAAAAAATATTAATGACTGTATGTATCTTCTTGGACACAATCCTTTTCTGGGGCGCTATATATTTGTGCGAGTACCAATTTAACTCACCATTCTTACATGTCTTAAGCATGTGTCCCCATTTTACCTCACTATCGCTCAATACTGCTGTTTCGCCGAGATATTTTACTGCGCAATTTTCACCAGTAATAAGATACATATTACGTGACATGTGACAATAAATTACAAAATAATGCATTATATTGCAACTCTTTTGAAGTCTGCAGTATATGAAACTATCGTCTGTTATAGATAGAAATGCCTGCTGATTTTCACAGTCTGTCATAGATAAATTCACGAAATGATAGAAATTTTCTATGTTAATCAAAAACATAATTACGATAAACGAGTACCACATAAAGAAGTCTCGAATATCTATTTTATTACAGATTTTATTACTATTTCATTACAGAAAGAGTGTGTTGTTTTGTTTTTTTTTTGTTTGTTTTTTTTGTTTGTTTGTTTTTTTTTTTGTTGTTGTTTTTTCTCTCTTAAAATTGCATTTTTGTTTTTTAATTCATTTGAACAGAGAAGTTGGCATGTATTTTTACATGCAATTCTGTTGAAAATTTAATAGTCTGTATGTTACGCCCAGGGAATTGATGCTTAATATATTTTTTTATAATTTTTGTAATATGGTACAAGAAAAATGCTGTGAAACCGGCAATGCTCCACATGAGTAATAATTTCAAACGACATTTCTTTGAAAGTTTCCACAAAGAGTTTTTAGAGGTAAAAACTGAAATTCGTGTTATTATTAACCATATGATATAAGTTGATGGGGTTTTTTTTTTACGAAAAAAGCAATGACGACACTATGTAAATTCCATTTGTATGATTTCGGAAATGTCATGTTCGACAACGATTGGGATATGGTATGGGGGTTATTCACCCTGACGATATATTTCGTCCTATCTTCTTTTGCATATAAAGGTTGCGCTGAGCTTTAGCATTTTAATTACATTCCTCAGCAAAAAATTATGCCAGTGCTGATTTCAAAATTTCGTTTTTATGACTTCATTTTTTTCTGATATAAAGAATTTACTTGTAATAATCAGAGAACTTTGTTTCTTTTGTATTACGGGTACAAAACATATTTGAAAGAGATATTTTGAACT